GGGCCGGGGCCCACCTGAGCTCTCTCACCCTTCAACGTCTGCTTCATATTAAGCTCTGACAACATGGCTCACGTTCTGGGAATCAGCACGTTTTTTTTTTTTTTTCCCCCTTGGCCAGACTACTTATTCATCGCGTCGAACGGGATGACCTAATCACTTGGCAGGTCATCAGTTGAAGCAAAGCTCATAAATGGACCCCCCGCACCCCCCGCCCCCCGCAACTCCTTTCCTCTTCTTGACTGCTTTATCGTAATGTTATTGTGTGTCCCGACGACTGTGTTTGCTTATGACAGATTAGAGCTTTGTGTGGTTCAATACCTGGCGGGGAGCCCGTTGCCCCTCGAGCTTTGTGATTGCAGTTGGGTGGAGCGAGTCTTTACGGTCTGCGTGCACCTGGATGTGACTTGGGAGCAGCATGATGCCACCGGGCTCGGGTCACAACGGGAAGACTCGACCAATCGGCGTCTTTTCGGGAGAAACGTGAAAAAGAACGATTCAAATTGTTAACATTTTATTTAGCCAGTAATATTTGAATAGATTCAAAATATGACAATACTGCAAAAAGATGACATCGCACAATATAAAAAAATACACACACATGCTCTCAGTGGTACTCGGAGATTACGAAATGCCGCCATGGGCAAATTTGTGTGCTGAATCTTCTAAACATTGAACCATGATGCCCAACAGAGACCCCCCTCGAATGCTGATAACTCACCCCAACCCCCGCCACTATTCACGAGCACTCCGTTTTTTTTTTTTTTTGTGGGTGTCCATTGACTTTCTCCTTTTCAGGTTCCCTTTAATCCCCGGGTCTGTGTCCTCAGTGGTCGGCTACAGAGGGGCTATTATTCGGTGCCTTATTACTGCGCCCCCTCGGAGGCTTATCTCCTTCCTGGTGACAGTCTTTTCAAGCCTCCTCCTAATGACCTGGGGAAACTCACATGCTCAACTTCCCAGGGCTGCGGGGGCCTTGCTGATGTCAGAGAGGGTGGGGAGCATGGAGAGAGTTGTCCGTGGCTTTGGGCAAGGTACCTTTAAGACGCAGAAGTATCCGGCCAGCAAAAAAACTCCAAAGTTGATTAACTAAGTGGTCTTCTGGCACCATAATGATGTCCTAAATACCCCTCCAGGCTTGATTCAAACCCCACTATTCTTCTTCTTTTACTTCTTGGCCAAGTGCATTTAAGAGGGAGAAAGTCCATTTTGATTTAAATCAGATTTCGAGGCCCGGCCGGGAATTCAAAACAGCGCCTTCACAGCTGGATTGTGTCCCCCAGCCGTCGTCGTAATAGATTGCTTTTCCAGTGGAACCTCCGATGTGGAACACAATCAGTTGATCTTGGCTGAGTTCCAAATTGTTATCGTTTCAAAACTTGAGGGGTGGCGGGGGTAGGGGGGTGAATTATCGCGATCATAAAACTTTTATTAACTGAACAGGCGTTGTGATGGATCGCATTTTAACATTCTGAACTGTCACGCGAGTAAAAAGAGAACGGAGGTGTAATACAACTAAAAATAACTTTTTAAAAATAACAAACTACTTGCCAATTGACAGAAAAGCGAGGGAACGGGAACGGGAAGGTTGACGCGCAGAGAAATTTCATGTGACGTCACTTCCAAATCACTGAAGTGTACAATTGTGTACAACACCCTTTTAGAGGTATTGTTACTTATTCACCAAATATACGGTACCACCTCAGAAATGATTACATCTCAATTTCAGGCTTGTTTCACGTTTGGTTAATCCAACCCAAGCACAGCAACTGTGCTCTCGCCCTGTTTCAATCCCTGACTTCAGGATTTTTGGCCTGTTTTACTGCCACTTTTCTCCTACCATCTCCGACCTCCACCCGCACTTAAGTGATTGATTACATTTGAATAAATATTGCACATGAAAGTAAAAAGTGGACATACATCCGGAATAAAAGTAAAATACATCGGAAACGTGTTCAACAGAGGTACTGTACTAGATTGAAAAAAAGGTTCAAACCGATGTACGAATCCCTGTCTGAAATTTTACACTGCCTGTAAAGTCGCTTGTTCAACAAATGGAATTTCTTTTCCGCGACGTTGGACTTTATTTTCACCTGCCCTTCCAATGGCGAGTAAATCGAGTGCGCATGACGAGGCATTCAAATGAGAGGGAGCAAAGGCCTCCAGTTGCGCTCAGCCTTACTCAAATGTACTGTTTAAATCCTCTGACCTTGAAAGGAGCCAGTGAATGGGGGATGAACGGACTGTTCCTGCGATTGTCTACTTCTCCTAATCACCATGACTCGTTTTAAACCCCGGTGACTTTTTATTCCTTTTTTTTTTTTTTTTTTTTTAAACAGTTTGTGCATGACGAGAATTTGGGTTATTATTGCGGACACGCCGCCATCGTCCATCGCAGACGTCCCCCGGGGGAACGTGGCACAGGTGTCCGTCGTCCCGCTTCCTCGCATGGCACATAGGCCCGTCGCCCCCGAGGCCTTTGGTGTCTGCGTCGCTGAATCATAAAACACGTTGGATGGGTCCCATTAAGAAAGTAATGAGTTTAGTGAGGCAATTTGCACGGACGAGTAAGGTTCAGCCCTGGGGGGAGGCAGAACGGGGTGGGAACTTTGCCAAGCGCTGACAAGCGTTATAGTTTGACTTTTTAAAATGATTTGAGTTGAACCACAGTTCGAAAAACAGTGTCTGATTTTCGCTGGTACATTTCCAGGAGGCTTTTCTATAACAGACAGGTGCCAACGATCGTGTCCGCGTGTGCGCAGCATCGTGTGTTTTGACAATCGGGGTAACGATGGTTCAAATTATTCCGTGTGGAAAGTCTTTTTGCCCCCCCCACAATGCACAAGTTCAGACAATGAATGGGGGGTATCATTGCCAACACCCGCTCAAACATCCGCGCTCTCCTTTTCGCTTGCTTCTTTTCTCTCTTTGTATTGTTAAAAATATCGCTACAGCAGCATCTTCGACGACGCAGTGCGCTAATTTTTTAAAAATTTATGTTCTCTCCGTACGTGAATGGACGAAATAAGTTGACAATGAAGACGCGCGGCGATCAGGGTCATCGTTAGCTTTAGCTGTCCGCTAACGGCGGACTCGTCCGTTAGCTTCCATTGCGCATGCATTAGCACAACGTACTGGAGCGGACTGGCGTTTGCGATCAGGTGTTGTCGCAAATAGCGTATCTACTAAGTATTTTTGCCAATTTTCAACCTGTTGGAGGAATGTGACCAATGATTTGTTTTTTTACATGAACAATTTGGCATCTCTGGTCTTAAGCCTTTGAGTAGTCATTGCTGCTTTTAGCCCCTTCCCCCCGACCCTTCTTTTAATTACTCCAAAACACTCCGACCTCGCGACCCCCTTCCCCCTCGCCATCCTTGCCTACTGTGCTTGCATCAACAAGGTTACTGAGGGGATCGAAGAATGTGGAGTGAAGTGGACGTGACACCCTAAACGTAACACAAAGATGTGTTTGCTGAAAGGGCAGCCGGCAAACTGAAAGCTAATCTACAGTGGCTCGGCGCGACCAAAACCCCCGCAAGTTCAACAAAGTATCTGGGCGCTGCCAAACCCCCCCCCCCCC